CTTGGCGCTGGCGCTAATGGATGACACTACGATTACCTGCGCTCCGCTAAGGCTGAGCCCAAGAGGTAATCGTAGTGTCATCCCTTGGCGCCAGCGCCAAGAATGAGTGTCATAATTGTAATCAGGATGGTAAATAACCCTTGTGTACATATTTTTTGGCGACTTAGGTAATTTAAAAATGAGCTCGGTGCCGAAGTTGCTGGAGTCCAAACGGCATTAGCCCATGTTCCGTCGTTCTGCAAATTCCGCATTTCTGCACCATGTATGAACGCGGCCTTACGGGGCTGTTGTCAACCAGACGTGCTCTCGCTGCGAGGGTCCAGGGTTATTTTCACGAGGCATCTACCAGTCCAGTAGTTGAAGGGAGAAGGTAAAGGAGGAGGGATCAGAGAAGGAAGGAAGGAAAAGAAGGAGGGAGGAAGAAAAAAGGAAAGAGAGGAGAGGCTTCTCGGTTGACAGGTCCCCTGAGACGCTACGGGCTCGGGCGGGTTGCGACGTCCGGTTGTGTGCGTGCACGAAGCAACATCACCACAGGGGGGGGGCTAAACTACGATCGCTGTAAGGCCTTTGTCGTCGATTTCAGCACTTACGGAAACCCTGCCTTTCTTATTCCCACAAATTCACCAATTCTTCAAATCGAACGTTTACAATCCTTTTCTGTAGATTCGGTATTTCTTCGAGATGGACGTTCTTCGTGAATGAACGCGACCCATCTTCGTTTCATTGCAATGTTTTTTGTTATGCACTTTTATGTTTACAACTTGTACGATATCAGTTGCTATTTTCCTGAATCGACCATACGGCACATGTGCAGAAAAGATAACAAGGGCAATTCATTGAACTTTCTGTCCACTTGAACATCGTTCTGGTTCCAGGCATAGTCTTTCCTGTAATTTCTCTGTTTTCCTTTAGTCAACTAGATTGCTAGCCTTTTCACATGGTTGGGTGTTCCTCGTTGTTGTACACCTTTTGATTTCCTGGCGCTGGTTAAAGAAATGGGCTGTTTTGTTGTTTACTGTCGAAATATCAAACCGGTTTGTCACGTCCGTAAACACCCTGTTAGGCTCGGAAAGTTTTCCAATTTTATTCCCCTGCCACTTCTTCTATTCCCATTTCTCGTGCTGGACGGCATTTGGTGCTGGAAGCTGCAAAAAAGATGAGGATCTTTGCTCATGAGGAGGAATCAATAAACCCGGTTGTGCAGAAAAGAGCTGAGAATAGAGCAGCAGCTTAGCAGGAGTTCATAGAGCATCACATGGTCGCCCAGCACATCTGCAGAAATTTTGCGAAATGGTCATATATGGGTGATAAAGTAATTCTCATTTAGAGGAGGACACTCGATAGCAACCTCTATCAGGGTACAGTCTCGTTGTGTGACCCACACAGGGGGTCGTACTTTTTCTCTGGGGAGTGGGGGATCGTATTTGGTCGTTGGAAGAAGCTGTCGTATGTGCCTTTGAGAGAAATTTGTCGCGTTGGTTTTCCGATTGTTGACTTTTTGCATTTTTTTCTTGTTTCATATGCACTATATCCCCCGCCTCTGCTCGACGAAAAATTTTTGGCTGAAAAACTGGACTGGGAAATTAGGAAATTGGAAGGTAGGTGTTGAGGAAGGAGGGGGAGGTCGTACCGAGACCCTCATTCAGGTGGGGGGGGTCATACTGACACCTTCTGTCGGAGAGGGGGGGTCGTACCTACACCACCACCTCGCACATCACGATGCTGTACCCTGACCTCTATGTCTTTTCGTCCAACAAAACTTTCCTCTAGCAGAAATTAGGCTTCATGCTAGTGGAGACTGTCTTCCCTGTGAAACTATCTCTTGACGGCCTTGGTCGTATGCTCTAATAGTAAGCTTACACAGTTATGAGAAGGGAACAGGAGTACGATCAAGTGATCCTCCTGGCTACCTAAGGATGCTGACAGCAGCTTCCAAGTCGGCCTGGCAGGGTGTCCATAAAGTTCGTTGGCCATTCGTTTTTTCAGAGCTTGTAAAGATAACTCACCAAGTTGAACTTACCGGTCCATGATATAATCTCCATGCATACCCACCACCTTTCGCCAACGATCGGGTAGAGAGGCAACTCCATCCTCCCAAAAGCCGGCCGGCCGCGACTCGACCCAGTCCTCGATCACGTCCTCGAGGTCGCGCTCGTTCTTCAGCTGTTTTCCGTCCAAGAAATTTTGCATGGACCGGAAGATGTGGTAATCGCATGGACTAATGTCCGGGCTATACGGTGGATGCGTGAACGTCTTGATGCCCAGCCTGTCCAGGACGGCCTGAGTATCTCTCGCTTTGTGGGGGCGCGCGTTGTCCCAGAGCAACCACGGATTTGCAAGTTTCTGGGACAAGGCGGCAGCTTTCACCTTGACCTCCTGCAATTCTTTAGAGAGGGTCTCTGCCGTCACTGTGGCATTGTTGGGTAGGATGCTGTAGTGGACGACGCCGTGGCGAGAGAACCAGAATGACAGAAGGCGCTTCTTTCCATGCATATGCTTGGCGGGGGCGCATCGAAATCCACCCAGACTGGTTTGTTGGCAGGATTAGAGAAGTAGACCCACTTCTCATCTTGGCAAATGAGGGAGTCCAGAATCTTCGTCAGGCCTCTGAGTCTGAGGTTGTCGGAGCACACCTCAACCCGCTTCCTTGCCTGTGCCGGCGTGAGGTCGTGAGGGACAACTCGACGCTTCTTCGACACCTTGCCAGATTCAATAAGGACTTGCTGTGGTATGTGTGTAATCGTGGGTATGGCTCTTGGATGCGCTTTGCTTAATGATTCGCCAATGTGCAACGTCGGTCATTTCGTCCATTGGGCATCCTAGAGTGCCTTTGTCTATTCGATGGTGGGTCTTAGGTGTCGGTACCTGGACCTTCTGGGTCATTTCTCAGATTCCTATGTTTTTTCCATTGGTGAAGCGAGTCCATTTTGACATCCAGTTCTTAGAAGGGGTGTTATCACCAAACTGCTGACGCATCCTGGTCGTGGCCTGACGTCTGGAGATGCCCAGGTTGTAGTAGTCCAGCAAACATCGGCGGTGGTGGTGACTATCACTCATCTTCACTGCTTTATTGTGGGAAGAGCAGGAAAGGAAATTTAGAGCTAGCTAGCTCAGAAGATAGCCATCGCGAGTACTTTCAGTATTGCGAAATCATTATGCAAAATCACAAGGATTGTATTGCGAAATCATTATGCAAAATCACAATGAGGGTGGTCCGCCGTCATGAAGGTTATCCGGTTTTTGCGGCAAGTCAATAATGAAGGCTCTGTGGCCCCCATAAGTGGCAGTTCTGACGCCTCCATAGTTGATCCGCCCACCAAAACTCAAGGCTATTTAAGTTGTCAGTCCAATTTTCATATCGTGTTTTTCGTTTTTTTCCCCACTGTTAGATGGTCTACATTGACGCGATAAAGCGATTGTGGCAGAGGGGGCAGGTTATCGCTTTGCTGGCATTAGAGCAGGCCCGGAGAACCCGTACAACGAGGGCGCTAGAGGTCCTACCTTGGTGTTCTCCTTTTTTTTGCTTTTAATTGAACGTCACTATGCAATATGCAGTCGCGAGGTTTGTCTTCAGACATTATGAAATGTCGTATTCCTCGTAATACATCGGCCCTATGTGTTGATCTATGGCACACTTTGGGAGCTCGTCAAGGAACGCGCACCAACGACCAAAGTCCTTGTTTTTGTTTGCGATTCACGTGAACGCCTGGTGAAAGGGGCGGGTGTTTGGGCCGTTAGCTGAGCACGACCATCGCGTAATAGTGCTGTCTGCAGTCTTGTTGGTGACGTCAATTTCTTGTTTGCTCCTTTTTTTATCAACCAAAACCTATATTGGCCGCGAAACTGTCGAGCGTTATATAAATAAGGCAGAATGCATTGATTGGTGACCCTTTGTTTCATAACTACTTTACTTTTATAATTTTTGATGAATGCTACTATTACTTTAGTACGCTAAAGGTGTATTACTACGAACGGGACTAAAATGCGCGTTTACGATTGCGTCACCCTCCCACGACCTCCACTAAATTGGCCCGCCAAGTGGCGTCAACAAAAGGATGTGGTTTCTGTGGAAGTTGTATGTGTGACTAAGTCGCGTTCCTACCTGGGGGAGGACGGAAATGGTACGATTGACCTCGTTATTGAATTGTCGCACCTATGATTCGAGGCAATATGAGATAAAAAGGATTAGGTCACACAATCCGCCGCGGTTAACGGCAGATTTCAAACGCCGTGTCCCGGTCGGGATCGTGCGATCTCGCTCTGAGCATCGAACCGTAATTTCCTCCATTTATCGGCTGTATAGGACTGAGCTGTAGGCTGATTCCCCCATGACCACTGTTAGAACGCATAAGAACACCGCGTGTAACGGTTAATTCGTGACTCTGAGGCACGCGTGCAAAAAGCTTCAGAAAACGCTTTGTGTTTTAGAAGTATATAGAGGCTTTGACAGCATCGACATCTAGCATTTTTACTCATGGAACTACACTCTAGTTCGCTGCGGACGGTTGGGCGTGTCAGCCAGTATGAGTGTGTCACCCCGTCAAAGCCGTTCTCTGCCTTCTTGTTGAAACGCGCATGCGACAAAAAGTGGTAGAAAACGAGTAATACGAAGGATATGATACAGTATTCAACAACTGGTGGAGAACGAGTTTGGCACCGCGCCAAACGCAGCCGCACTGACACGCCCAACCGTCCGCAGTGAACTACACTATATAGCTCTTCGTCGTTTAGTCGCGTTCGCGTTTTTGACAACTTGCTAGATTATAGCAATGCATGAGCTGGGTGCAGTATGGTGCAATAGACCAAGCTTTCACATTATAGAAAACTTATTGGAGAAGTTTTCTATAATGTGAATGCTTCTAGAAAAGGTTTCTTGGAAGTGTGGAATGGCAGTGTTTCTCTCGTTGTTGTAGCCCTTCTCTGACCACTCATTTTAACTTGTCTAGTGATAGATTCCGTTGCTTGCGTAACTGTGATACCATTCTTCTGGTATTCTTGTGATGGTTCTCATTCATGCACGTGTCATTGTTTCGGTCGGCGATGTTATGGTACGCTTTCCTATCATTTTTTAATTATTCGAACGAATAGGCGTTTGTTTTTCAGTGACTCTTGACCGATGATCAAGGCATTTCAAAGATCGCTGAACAGAAGGCCACTTCTTACCCAGGTTGTGGCCACAGGTACAGTTTCGATTGAGCTTTTCCTTTTTAATTTACATTCCGCAGTCTCGAGCTCCTTAGCAATTGAACCAGGTGCTATCGCAGTTTGTTGTGGCAATGGCTTCACGGACCGGACATGGTTATCTCGTCCTTGAGGCTGCGTTCACAATTTGTGTCAGCGCACGCCAGCGTACAGCGGAGTTCCGAGCAAATAGGCAAGTACAGATATCGATGCAGCGCACGCAGTGTATGCTATCGTACAGCAGCGTATTCGCGGGTGATCAAGTTCGAAGTTTTGCCCGCGTAAACGCTGCCGAAAAGTATAAACGCAACCAACTATCTCATGACAACAAAAATTCTTCTAAGGCATCTGTCATCGTCACCATGTGCCCATGACATATTGTCGATGAAGCGTCTTCACATGTGAGACTGTTTTCTTTCAGCAATAACGTCCGTATAACGGTTGCTTCCACAAACTAGATAGTTGCTTCAAGCACACCATTTCAACGTTTCTTTAACAACTTCTGCATTAGCAGATTTGTTAGTATGGCCTACTTGTTTACAGCTAGCCTTTCTAAGACTATGTTCATAGATTTAAGTCGCCGTAGTCGACGTTTACGGCGACTTGTTGAGAAGAAGAGATACGTATATATCCAAAGTAGTTGACGTTTCCAACTCCGATCGATACGTATCCTATCTTCTTATAGCCGCCCAGAACGTCGGTTACAGCTACAAGATCGCGCAGTTGCAAGAGCGTCGAAACTCCAATTCGGAGCGCTTTCTGCCGCGCCTCCCAGCCCGCCATGAATCTGAAAATTCAGCTGTACCGACAGGATCCCGTAACCGAAGTGTAATACATGGTAAGCCCAAGAATAGTCTACGCTCCCGTTTTAGCTCTCGAAAATCAGTTGTTAGCTCTCCGTTAAAGAGCGACAGTGATGTCGAGTGAATGATCGTTGACCGAGTGACTATTTATTAAAAAGAGCAAGACACGGATAAATATGCGTATCCAGGGTCATGATTCAGGTTCATAAAAAGGTTCATTGTGGTTCATAGGTTCCACTGCGTCGCTTAGGATTCTTCACCAGGCAGGGGCAAGTGGTTAAGGTTGGGTCCATACTTCGCGTCCATCAGCGAGCCTGCTGGTGGAATATGGGCAGGGAGGGAGCAGACAGCTGGTTTAAGCGTCGAACTGTGGTATGTGCAACAGCCCCCTACGGCTGACAAAGCACAAAATTATCTAATTTAATGTACAGTGTTGTGTAGTATTACAGTGTGGTAGCACACGCCGCAGTTTCACGACGCCTAACCAGCTGTCTACTTCCCCATACTCTCCCCACTCTTAGGCGCTCGCAGACGCTATCAGAAGCTGGTGGACGCTGCTGAACGCTCCCGGAGCTGCTGTTCGCTTGGTCGATATCTATACTTTCCCATTCTCCAGCGCTGACGGACGTTCGAGAGACTGTTGGTCGCTGGCGCCAAGTATGATCGCAGTCTAAAAGTGTTTTCTGCATCCGTTGGCCGAATGTAGTACAGTCGCCCGATTTTAATTAATTTCCGTTGAAGGAGCGATATGTGGAGCTGGAGATGTTTGTTGTCAGCTTGTATTAGAGAGAAGAACTTCGAAGACGTACGATGTTTATAGGACTGGCAGATTTTTCGTATTAGGATCATTTTTCATTGTAAGTTTCGCAAAAGATTAGCAATTAGCTCGTTTTTCTTTTGTGGCGTGAACACAGTTTCCCTTTGATTTTAGACCCCGGCATTAAATAGATGGTTTAAAGTTCTGGAGAAAATAAATGGCAATCCTAAGCTCGATCCACTAAAGCGAATGCTTGTTGATCAGGTATTTGATTTGAATTGCTTTTCTTGATTACTTCTTATAGATATAAGAGTGCAACGTTTCAGTTTGCATTCGCGCCTTTCTTTAATGCAGTTATTTTGTTCAATCTACGAATACTAGAAGGTTATGGAATAGAAAAATCGTGGAGTAAAATGAAGGAAGATTGGTGGACTATTTATTCGACGAGCTTGAAGGTAGCGATTTTTATTACTCGATACTTGGTTGGAAGTTATGTGCCTGGATTGTATTGTTTACTACCTTGCAAAAAACTCATTTTAGATTTGGCCGGCAGTTCAGCTTGCAAATTTCTACCTAATTCCGTTGAATATGCGTGTTATTGTTGTTCAATCGGTGGCACTTTTCTGGAATACCTACCTCTCGTTCAAGACACAGAAGCGCATGGAGTCGGACGAACATACCTCAATGTAATTTTTTCCGCTCACTCAAATATTACCCTGTTTTCTGGGATATGTGTCACCTCTTTGACCCATTCTCTCTCAACTCGTAAACAGGGTATTGAACAGCTTCCAAACAATCAGCATGGACATCATTATACACGGTTTTGGGTAGACTTTTTGCGGCCCTAAATATTGCCCTAAAGTCCGCTTATTCCCTGGAAGATAGGGTACTTGTAGTCTTTCTTTCCTCATTACTTCTTCTACTCCAATACTTTCTTGCCACAGGCAAGCCGCTTCTTCAAGATGATAATACCGGCAGTCGTTCTTGCGTTAGGTAAGCTGCTTCGCGTCTGCCCATTTAGTTTCCATATCCCTTGACCTCTGTCAACATTTTAGGCTGAACTGATGAGGCTTATTAAAGGCAAACCCTGCGTTCATTTGATGCGCAGACGTTTTCGTTGGAAATGGTATTGTCCACGAGTCTGTAGGAGATACTACTGCCGCAGCTCAAAGATAAGAAAGGAAAGCGCAGCCGCTCGCGACGGAAACAGGCTCTTCCCAATGGCACGGCGACACCCAACCTTCATTCTTAACTGCTATCTGGTGGTGTGAGTTCCACTACTAACTGTCCCATTTCGATTGATGAGATTAAGGTGTTAGGGGAAAAATAGTGTACACCAACGAGTGATTGCTCGTCCAACAACGCCCCTTCTTCGCTTTGTGCAACTTCAAACGCGGTTCAGTATGGGATTCTAGGGGAAGTATTTCGGGCGGGTTCTTTCTGTTATTTTCCTCACTTTCGCGTTATTCCATCTTCTCATTACTATTCGAGCCGCACAAATCATCATGAACAGGGGTGTGCCTTCAAGGGGTCCTGACTTTACAAGTGATTACTGTTCGAGCCAATTACCACATGAAATTTTGAAACATCGCGTCCAGGAATTCAAAAGTTGATTGAGCCAGTACGTGACATACCTTTTTTAACCGGGACTTCATAGTGGACACCTTTGGCTTGTGAATGACTAGATACCTATTGGATTCTTCGTTCCACTTTTTGTTTTCTCTTGTGAGAATGAGAACATTGTAAAGTAATTTATTGTAAGAGAGCGTAAATTCGTTGAAAGTTCTGAATGTGAATCACCTTGAAGAGTTCTGTGCTTTGAATCCCTGAATATGGCTTTATTGTGTTTTTAAGTTGTTTATGTGGGCAAAACAATGCAGTAGTTCAGTCTCCGTTTCTCTTAGGCTCTTAGATGGGGACTAAACACACCTGTTAAGTGAGGTTTGATAAAGAAAGAACTTCACTTAAAAGGTATGTTCAATCCCTTGACTTAAGTGAGGTTCGTTTTTTTAAATTAGAATTCTAATATCCTATTTCTCCATGCGAAATGAACTTGCAGCCCATTTGAAGGTCCAAGCGGCTCAGATTTTTAGTCTAAGTCGCTACCCAGATAGCCTTCTCCCAGTTTGAGAACGAGCTGTCAATGATCCTGTGGATAAGCTGCGCTTGGTTGCCCCTTTGGCAGCATTCTCCTGTTTATCCCTTAAGAATTGTCCTGGGCAGCACTAATGGTTCTACTCAACGAAATTGCCTGCAATGATAACTTGCTACGGATCCATGTATAAGTCTCGCTCCAACTGCACCCCTTCCCTCGCCGTGGATAGAATTTGATCGAAAGTCCGTGTAGCTGATGTTACGCCCTCCCCTTTACATCTTGACCAGAAAGAGATTTTTCAGCGCACTTCTAAACAAAATTTGTTGTTGTACTTTGCGAAACACAGCAACTACAAATGACTTTTCAGGTCGAATCCTCTAAGGCCAGCTATCGAGAAAATGGAAGCCCAGTTATCTCATGCTTTATGTGAGGATTCGACTGCAAGAAAGTAATGGTTAGTCAGCTTTTCTGGCGGAGAAGTAGTCCTCCATGGAGCGAAACTTGAGGAAAACTGGGTCGTTTTTGCAACATTTAGCTTGTACGATGGCGCAATAATTCACGCTTAATTAGCGCTTAACCTAAGACCTCGAATATCTTTGTGTCGTTTTACATTCAGTATTCATTATTGCAGGCCGGAGGTCATCAGTGTTTAGCCATTTGCGTCACATTTGACTTGTAATCCTTTAGATATTTGTGTATACCTAATAATAAGTTGCCTAGGAATAGATAATTTTCGTCTTTATATGTATTAACATGTACATATTGTAACAGTAACATGTACAACAATGTACATATTGATTTCTGTGCACTACCTCAGTGAGTGACCGAAAAGGGCACCGTTTGTTGATTCTGAATAATTAAATAGTTACTAGTTTATTGTGGTAGACGTGGTTTTCTAGAAATAATCATCAGTCACGGGCATCCGAATGTTTTTGTTTCATCAAAAATTTTGCATAGACGAACTCACCTACTTGGACGTAGGTAATAAATTTTTCATATTGAGCGTATTCATATGTTGTTTCTCTACTGCACGCGTAGTTGACATGTCGGTGTCTTGAAGAGAGAGGTGAAAATTTGCTCGAAGTTAGAAGCTCACTCATAAAGAGGATTGAGTCCGTAACCAAAGGAGTAGCTGAATTTGGTCTTTACCGAATACTAGCTATCAAGTTCACTACGATCTCCCGCGAATGCGTAGAAGGAGCACCATCCTTTCCTCCGCCTACATCATCTGAGCACCGGAGTTCACTTGTGATGAAAGGAATCGTGCCTAGCGTGGGTGCGTGCAGAGGACTTGAGAAGCGCACATGTTCGCTCGCGTCCAGCGGTATTTCCACGCGGGTGCTGGTTGTTATCGGCAACCTGGAGGCCTTTACTGCCCTACAATGCGTGTGCTACGGCCACTTGCTTGATGTCAGTCCACTTACCTTCATCTAAGCCACACGCTAAGGACGACGGTCGAGCAGTGGAATTGTAATACCAGTCAGTATAATCTGCATACGCGCGAGTAATCAGCTGATTTACTACTCCCTTTGGTAAATATAAAATAATGAAGAATAACTACGAAGAAAAGGCAAGTACGGCTCTAGTCTCTGCGCAGACGGTACCTACGCTTCTAAGGCCACGAATGGCAGCTCGCCAGGCGGCTTTGAAGCATCCTTCCCTCCGGCGGAGCGAAGCATTCAGGACGGCAGTAGACGAAAGGACGAGTACAGTCGTCGCCACTTCTGCGTTTCTAGTTGCGTTTGGAGCCCCCTTTCCGCTGAGCGCGCCCCGCAGCGCCTACCATAAACGCGACCCTTGAAGAGTGTATGGAAATCGCTACAGTGGGGCAGCACTCGACCGCGGCCCTTTCCCATCAATAGATGGCTACCTGGTTTTAATGCTAGGTAAAAACCTTGCTGATGGTGGTCGAGCTAAGTCCTACATTGGAACCACCTTTATACTATCACCAGCCGGCTTTGCCGGCTGATGCCTGCACGCCTTCTTCTGAGGTAAAGAATGGATTTGCTGAGCCGGCTCCGTTGCACTTATCCTTCTCCTCACCGGCTTTTCTTTTATACAGATAGTCAATAATCTTTGACCAATATGTTCATACGAGTGCACTACATGATTCTTTTATATAGTGAGATTGTAAACAATCACACATTGCCTCAAAGTGATACTAAAACATGGATTTTATTCGCGACTCTGCTAGCGGTTGATCCTTCCTCTATTCACCTTATCGCTTTCATTGGCGCTTTTATTACCACACTGTGATGAGTTTCTACTAAACGCACTCTATGCTTCCCCTCCCGTACTCTCCCTCACTAATCCCACCCACCCACATTATACCCTCCCCACTCCCACTTGCCCCACCCACTCCCCATCCCGGCCGCTGCACGTGCTCACGTCCACCTGGCACGCGAGCAGCTCGTGCAATGGTTTGGAGTGCACTAAATGGTATACACATAGTGCAGGGTGATATCACAATCAAAACAATGCATT